CTCCTGCCCTACAGCCTCCCAAGTAACTGGGATTATAGGTGTACACCACCATACCCAGTTAATTTTTTTTTTTAGTGGAGACAGGTTTCACCATGTCGGCCAGGCTGGTCTTGAACTCCTGATCTCAAGTGATCCACCTGCCTTGGCCTCCCAAAGTGCTGGGATTACAGGTATGAGCCACCGTGACCGGCCTGGTGTTTTTTGTCTTTGCTATCACTTTGGTGGACTGCCTGTGATGCTCATTATCACAGTCTAGTCAGATGCTTATTCATTAATAAAACTAATTACTAGTTACTCAGGAGGCTGAGGCAGGAGAAACATTTGGAACCAGGAGGCAGAGGTTGCAGTGAGCTGAGATCGTGCAACTGCACTCCAGCCTGGGCAACAGAGTGAGACTCTGTCTCAAAAAAAAAGAAAAAAGGGCCGGGCACGGTGGCTCAAGCCTGTAATCCCAGCACTTTGGGAGGCCGAGGCGGGTGGATCACGAGGTCGAGAGTTCGAGACCATCCTGGTCGACATGGTGAAACCCCGTCTCTACTAAAAATACAAAAAATCAGCTGGGCATGGTGGCGTGTGCCTGTAATCCCAGCTGCTCAGGAGGCTGAGGCAGGAGAATTGCCTGAACCCAGGAGGCGGAGGTTGCGGTGAGCCGAGATCACGCCATTGCACTCCAGCCTGGGTAACAAGAGCGAAACTCCGTCTCAAAAAAAAAAAAAAAAAAAAAAAAAAAAAAAAAAAAAAAAAAGAAAAAAGAAAAAAGAAGTGAATCACTGGCCATGTGTAGTTGGCCAACTGGACAACACATGCCTGTTGTCCTGTCTTCTCAGGAGGCTGAGGTGGGAGGATCACTGGAGCCCAGGAGGCTGAGGCTGCAGTGAGCTATAATATAATCATGCCACTGTACTGTAGTCTGGGTGATGGACCAAGACCCTGTCTCAAAAAAAAAAAAAAAAAGTCACTGAGTCCACCCCATATTGAAGGGAAGGAGAATTAAGCTGCCTTTCAAGGGAAGTGTCATATCTAAACCATTAAATACAAGGAGTGCTAACAATCCGGTTAACTAGTATTGCAAATCCAAAAAGTACCACACTTGCTATGGAAAATATGAAGACGCAAAGAGTGTACAGTGACAAAAGTGTAAGAAAAAGTGAGGCACAGGGGTGCGCACCTGTAATCCTAGCACTTCGGGAGGTGAAGGTGGGAGGATCAATTGAGACCAGAAGTTTGAGGCTTCAGTAAGCCATAATTGTGCCACTGCACTTTAGTCTGGGCAGCAGAGGAAGACCATGTCTCAATTTAACATCATCAACAACAACAAAAAATACACACACACATACACACACACACATATATGTATATGTATTATATATGTGCATACACATACACACACACACACACACACACACATATATATATATATATATATATATTTTTTTTTTTTTTTTTTTTTTTTTTTTTGAGACAGAGTTTCACTCTGTCACCCAGGCTGTAGTGCAGTGGTGCAATCTCGGCTCACTGCAACCTCTGCCTTCAGGATTCAAGTGATTCTCCTGCCTCAGCCTCCTAAGTAGCTGGGATTACAGGCACGCACCACCACATCCAACTAATTTTTTTTTGTATTTTTAGTAGAGATGGGGTTTCACCATGTTGGTCAGGCTGGTCTCAAACTCCTGACCTCATGATCTGCCCACCTCAGCCTCCCAAAGTGCTGGGATTATAGGTGTAAGCCACCACAGCTGGCCTACATACATATTATATATGCATATATGTATGTGCATATATCATATATAAGGATCTGCATCTATGCATATATATATGCATATATGTGTATGTGTATATATGCATATATGTATATATATATGTATACGTATGTAGGGAAAAGACAATAGTGCACAGAAGTGCGTGAGGTAATCAATAAAAGTGTTATTATTATTATTTTTAGACCGAGTCTGGCTCTGTCGCCCAGGCTGGAGTGCAATGGCATGATCTTGGCTCATTGCAACCTCTGCCTCCCGGGTTCAAGCAATTCCTGCATCAGCCTCCCGAGTAGCTGGGATTATGGGTGCATGCCACCACATCTGGCTAATTTTTGTATTTTTAGTAGAGGCAGGGTTTTGCCATGTTGGCCAGGCTCATCTTGAACTGCCAACCTTGTGATCTGCCCACCTTAGCTTCCCAAAGTGCTGGGATTACAGGCGTGAGCCACTGCGCCCGGCCAAAAGTATTATTTTCTGAATTTTGTGTTCTTTGTTATCTGTGAGAAGAGCTGGCTTCTCGTAGAAAGAATAGTGTGGTTTCCCAGGGTCCGATGATCCAAAGGGCCCACACTCAGGGTTTAATGTTTTTGCAGTCACTGTCCTGAAAATTTCTGCTTTTTTCTTTTCTTTTCTTTTTTTTTTTTTTGAGACAGAGTTTCACTCTTGTTACCCAGGCTGCAGTGCAATGATGAAATCTCGGCTCATCGCAACCTCCACCTCCCAGTTTCAAGTGATTCTCCTGCCTCAGCCTCCTGAGTAGCTGGGATTACAGGCATCCACCACCATGCCCGGCTAATTTTGTATTTTTAGTAGCTATAGGGCTCCTCCATGTTGGTCAGGCTGGTCTTGAACTCCCGACCTCAGGTGATCTGCTTGTCTCGGCCTCCCAAAGTGCTAGGATTACAGGTGTGAGCCATTGCACCCGGCTAATTTCAGCTTTGAATATGTGTTTACCAAGTAAAGCCCAAATGAGACAGTGGAGCATGAAGTAGAGACTTGAAGTTGGGGCATACACATGGTTCCACCTCTTGTCTCTCTGATAGGTTTTCTGAGCAGAGAACCAGTCTGGCAGCCTGGTCTCCCCATTTCTGCTCTTGCTCAGGGACGCTGCCCCCTGTTCAGCTGGGGGCCTGGGTGCGGATACAGAGTGCATCAGGCCAGGTTAACAGTGGGTAAGACCAGACTCATGTGCCCTGTGCCTCTCTGGGCACGCCATGGCGGTGGCTGTCCACTGTGGGTGGTGCCATGGTGCATTTGGTGGGCAACTCGGTAGCGGTAAGTCTTACCCCCATTCCTGATCCAGGTACCTAGGGGGTTCCTTGAATGAAGGTTGCAATACCCTTGAGGATTGCCTTGTGCCAGGGCTTGGGGTGGTGTTTTGCAGGAAGCAATGATGTCTGACTCAACCTCCCTGCACTGACCATCAGTTGGCAGGAAAGGGAAGCAGCACTCATCAAGCCCAAATGCATACTCCCTCCGCGTTCAGTGTAGACACTCATGTGCACCAGGGGAGCACGTGACTGTCTACACTGGCCTATCTAGTAACCCCATGCCCAAGGTGTGCTGTCTTAGGCAGCTCTGTACCTGATGGATCCCCATCCATTCCTTTCAACCTTCATGGGTCTGGCCTATGCCCATCTCCTCTGGCGAGCCCCAGGCACACACTGTGGACAAGCCATAAAATATGAATCGTGAACTTTCTTGGATTCTTCATCTTAAATGATTTGATATTTGCATTAAAAACTGACACTGCTTGTCTGGACGTGGTGGCTAAAGCCTATAATACTAGCAGTTTTGGAGGCCAAGGCAGGAGGATTGCTTGAGGCCAGAAGTTCAAGGCTGCAGTTAGCCATGATTGCACCACCGCACTCCAGCCTGGACAACAGAGCAAGACTCCATTTCTAAATAAAATAAAGACAAATGGGAAAGTTTATGATCATTATTAAAATTTCCCATTTCTTCTGTACTTAGAATGACATTAAATAGCAAACAAGAAACACCACAAGTTGAGGAGACTGCCAAAAGAAAAAGCTTTATCTTTTAAGACTTAACACTTTCCCCCACTGCTTTTTTTTTTTTTCTTTTTGACAGGGTCTCACTCTGTTGCCTAGGCTGGTATCCAGTGGTCCAGTGGCTGCTCACTGCAACCTTTGGCCCCGGGGCTCAAGTGATCCTCCCACATCAGCCTCTATTGTTTTGTTTTGTTTTGTTTTGTTTTGTTTGTTTTGTTTTGTTTTGTTTTAGATGGAGTCTTGCTCTGTTGCCAGGCTGAAGTGCAGTGGCATGATCTCGGCTCTGCAACCACCGCCTCCTAGGTTCAAACGATTCTCCTGCCTCAGCCTTCCAAGTATCTGGGACTACAGCCTCCTGTCACCACGCCTGGCTAATTTTTGTATTTTTAGTAGAGACAGGGTTTCACCACGTGGGCCAGGATGGTCTCGATTTCCTGACCTCGTCATCCGCCCGCCTCGGCCTCCCAAAGTGCTGGGATTACAGGCATGAGCCACGGCGCCCGGCTAATTTAAAAGAAAAAAAAAAAAAATTGTAGAGACCGGGGTCTCTTTAGGTTGCCCAGGCTGGTCTCAAACTCCTGGGCTCAAAGGATCCTCCTGCTTCTGCCTCTCAAAGTGCTGGGATTCCAGGCATGAGCCATCGCACCCGGCCTTGTCTTACACTTTTTCACACAATAAGCCTGTGGAGGGCCAGGCACGATGGCTCAGGCCTGAAATTCCAGCACTTTGGAGGTCCGAGGCGGGTAGATCACAAGGTTAGCGGTTTGAGACCAGCCTGGCCAAGACGGTGAAATCCCTGTCTCTACTAAAAATACAAAAATTAGCCAGGCGTGGTGGCGGGCGCCTGCTGTCCCAGCTACTCGGGAAGCTGAGGCCAGAGAATTGCTTAAACCCTGGAGGCGGAGGTTGCAGTGAGCCGAGATGGTACCACTGCACTCCAGCCTGGCGACAGAGAGAGATTCCGTCTCAAAAAAAAAAAAAAAAAAAAAAAAAAAAAAAAAAGCCTGTAGAGCTCTTTTGATATGTGGGAGGGAAAAAAAAAGATCCCCGGGAGTGTTATTTCAAAAAGTAAAGGAAACTGCTGGCATCCGAGGAGAAGCCGGAAACCCGGCAGGGAAAACCTGGCAGAGAGTCCGGGGTCTTCTGGCAAGGGAGTCCCTGAGAGCTGCCTGGCCGGGCCTGCGCTCGTCCCCTTTAAAGGGCGGGACAGGGGCGGGGTCTGGCGCCGCTTTCCCAGGCTGCCCCGCGCGCGCGCGCCGACAGTTCGGCCACGTCCCTGGCCACGTCGCGGCCGCTCTCGCCATCTTCGCCGCTTCCTCTCAGGGGCTGCTGCTGCCTGAGCCGCCGAGCTCCGGGGCCGACGCGCTGCGCCGACCGCCGCCATGAACATCTTCCGGCTGACCGGGGACCTGTCCCACCTGGCGGCCATCGTTATCCTGCTGCTGAAGATCTGGAAGACGCGTTCCTGCGCGGGTGAGCGGCCGGGGAAGGCCCCGAGAGGATCGGGCGCAGGGGCCGGGTCTCGCCGAGGACCCGCTGACCTCGGCCGCCTCACGGCCCGCGGGGCCTACACCGGCCCGACACACCCCCTCGGCCGGCCTAGCGGGTGCCCGGACCCGAGGGGTAGCAGTCTGCGGGCCCTCGGTGTGGGCGCCGCCGGGCCGGGTGTCGCAGCGCGGGGCCCCGCTCTGCACCCGATCCCGGCGCGAACTTAAGCCGTCGGGGCGCACCCGGCTGCGTCTAAAAAGTTGGCGTGGGTGGGAGGTTCCGGCAGGCGTGGCCCCTCCCTGGGCTTGAATGGGGACGCTTCTCTGGCCGGTGTCCCGCTTGGGGGCTGCCGGGGGTGCAAGGAACCCGCGTATCAATGGCACGGGCGGGAGGAGGATGGGCAGGATCGCTGCTGGCTGGGCCTGAAGTGGCAGCCCAGCCAGCTCGGGAGGTGGGGCGGGCGCGGGGAGAGGTCATCCGGCTCCCCACCCTGTCCGTGCAAGGCTTGGGCTCTAGGTGTGGTGTAGTGGGGTCGGATCAGGCATATCCTTAGAGTTGTGTGGGCTTCACCCAAGCTCTTGGATCCAGGATCACACCTGCCAGGGGAGGGGCTTTCGGGGAGGTAGTGATTTTCTCGGCATAATTAACTCTGCTTTGGGAAAAACTATCTGGTTTGTCAAACTCCAAGTGCCTCCATCTAATAACGGGTTCTCTTAAAATTGCGGCACTCTGGGACCGCGGAGGTCTCTCCTATGGGCTGCTGCCTTTCCTCGCTCCACGTCACCAGTGAGTTGGCTGCTGCCCTGTTAAGGAGTACAGATTTCATGCAGGCACTGCTGGTAGGCAGTGAAATGAGTCTTTCCTAGATAATGGTTGTGGACTTTTACATTTCTTTCTTTTCTTTTTTTTTTTTTTTTTTTTTTTTTTTTGAGACGGAGTTTCACTCTTGTTACCCAGGCTGGAGTGCAATGGCGCGATCTCGGCTCACCGCAACCTCCGCCTCCTGGGTTCAGGCAATTCTCCTGCCTCAGCCTCCTGAGTAGCTGGGATTACAGGCACACGCCACCATGCCCAGCTAATTTTTTGTATTTTTAGTAGAGACGGGGTTTCACCATGTTGACGAGGATGGTCTCGATTTCTTGACCTTGTGATCCGCCCGCCTCGGCCTCCCAAAGTGCTGGGATTACAGGCGTGAGCCACTGCGCCCGGCCACATTTCATTAATTTTAAAGGCATAATAATCGCAAGCTTTTCACTTTTTTTTTTTTTTTTTTTTGGAAACAGGGTCTCGCTCTATCACCCAGGTTGGAGTGCAGTGGTGCGATCACTGTTCACTGCAGCCTCTACCTCCCCTGGCTCAAGTAATCCTCCTGCCTCAGCCTCCTGAACAGCTGGAACTCTAGGCATGCACCACCACGCCTGGCTAATTTTTTTGTTGTTGCTATTTTTTTGTAGACACAAGGTTTCACCATGTTGCCCAGGCTTTAACTTTTTTAAAAAATTCCTTAAACTTATTTTTGATGCTTGGCAGAATAACTTTTGTTGAAATCAAGAGCTTAATATTTTCAGAGGCAGTAAAAGATAATCCTGAAAGATCTGGGTGGCAGAGACTCTATTTACCTGATTTCTTTCTTAAAATGTTGACGTCTAAAGTCACACTTCATCTCTTTTTTTTTTTTTTTTGATATAGAGTTTCGCTCTTGTTACCCAGGCTGGAGTGCAATGGCGCTATCTCGGCTCACCACAACCTCCACCTCCTGGGTTCAGGCAATTCTCCTGTCTCAGCCTCCTGAGTAGCTGGGATTACAGGCACGCGCCACCATGCCCAGCTAATTTTTTGTATTTTTAGTAGAGACTTCATCTCTAACTCTGCTGTCTGCAGGCCTCACCTATCTAACTGAGATCCAGGAAGTAAGCAAAACCAAAAAGACCTTTGAGCAATCAAAATGGGTGTTACAAAGTCCGTGTGCCAGTGTGTCTGACTTGGAGGTGATCTGTCAATTGACACATAGGTCTGAGAGGCTCCATTGTATGATTTCCAATGACAACAAATAATTGCAGCAATTCTGAGAACTGACTTTGAGGCATTTGCTTTCTAGCAAGTAGTCAGCTGAGTGCTTTATATAGCTTATCCCAGGTTATCATTAAAATAACCTTAGGAGTTAGGTGCTATTGTTCCCATTCTTTTATGGGGGAACTGAGTCTTAGGGAGGCGAATAAATTAGTGATAGAGCCAGGATTGAAGCACAATTAGTACCTCAAAGGATCTGATTGATGAATGTCTAATGGAGCTGAAATAAACATTGGATACCAAACCACGATGTTTAGATTATTTTTGTTGCACTCAGATGATGTTACTTTTTTTTTTTTTTTTTTTTTTTAAGAGTTAGTGCGGTGTCTCACTCTGGCTGGAGTGCAATGGCTGTGTCACCTCACTACAGCTTCAAACTCTTGGGTTCAAGTAATCCTCCTACCTCAGCCTCCTGAGTGTCTGGGTACAGGTGTGAGCCACAGTGCCTGGCAGTGTCACTTTTAATCTTTAGTTTTGCTCCAGAATCTTTGTGTGAGTCTCTTCGTTTTCTTCTGTTTTTCAGAATCCCCTCCTCTGGCAAGTTATTAAGTCTTGAAGTATGCTGTCTCCTAAACTTTTATTTATACTAAGATGTTTGGGAGAATTTAGTACAACTCTAGAATAGATTTCTTTCTTTCTTTTTTTTTGTTTTTCCTGCTACGGAGTCTCTGTCGCCCAGGCTGGAGTGCAGTGGCGTGATCTCAGCTCACTGCAACCTCTGCCTCCCTCTGCCTCTGAGGTTGAAGTAGTTCTCTGCCTTAGCCTCCTGAGTAGCTGGGATTAGAGGCACCCACCACCATGCCCGCCTAATTTTTGTATTTTTTTTTTTTTTTTGAGACGGAGTTTCACTCTTGTTACCCAGGCTGGAGTGCAATGGCGCGATCTCTGCTCACCGCAACCTCCGCCTCCTGGGTTCAGGCAATTCTCCTGCCTCAGCCTCCTGAGTAGCTGGGATTACAGGCACGCGCCACTATGCCCAGCTAATTTTTTGTATTTTTAGTCGAGACGGGGTTTCACCATGTTGACCAGGATGGTCTCGATCTCTTGACCTCGTGATCCACCCGCCTCGGCCTCCGAAAGTGCTGGGATTACAGGCTTGAGCCACCGCGCCCGGCCAATTTTTGTATTTTTTTAGTAGAGATGGGGTTTCACTGTCTTGGCCAGGCTGGTTTTGAACTCCTGACCTTGTGATCCACCTGCCTCAGCCTCCCAAAGTGTTGGGATTACAGGTGTCAGCCACCGCACCCAGTCATTTATTCAGAATTCAATGCTAAATTTGACAAGCTGCCTTTTTTCCATACTAAATAATAAAAGTTGTTTAGAGTCTTTAAAAAGAGTAAGAATTTGATAAGAGTTTCTCAAATAACTGGAATAGGAGACACATGCATCCAGATTGTGTTTCTCATTTTGAAAATACTGATACTGAGGTTCATTTTTAGAATTTTAGCACCAATTTTGAAAATGGTATTTTAGTCTCGGAACTGTGGTGCTTTTTATTCAGTAAGGATCAGAGAAGCTAGTGAGGAAGCTGGAGATTCTGTTTTCCTCATAGATTCCAGAACAACTGCCTTTAAGGACCATTTCAAAGTAGGGACAGTGAGTTGATCATGTTTGAGTCTGCATCGTCTTGTGGCTGTGTTTGCTATTGTCATTACAGAAGGGTGCCAAAATGGACTGAGTTTCTCCTATTCTGAATTATCATTGCAGCTCCATCCACAGTATGCTCAAGTTGTCATTTTATTTTTGTTCTAAACACTGACCTACTTAACCTCGAGAGAACAAGCTGTGGTTTTAGTTATGAAGGGCTTCCTATCCAAATTTTCCTGCAGGCTGATGGTTAATAGTGCTGTATCTACTGTAGTGCAGTATCTATTAGTATGTCTCTACCGTAGCTACAGGAGTCTTTCTGAGATCCATGACCTCAGGCCTTCTTCCCTTAATCTTTCTCCTTCCCTGTTTCCCCTGTTGCTTAGATTGTTGTTAGCTGTTATGTAGGTTGTAAACTTTCCATCCTACCAAACACCATACTGGAGCTCATGGTATCCAGATTTCACATATTGGTCAGTTTATATTTTTGAAGTCATGTAGTGGGTAAGATGTGGAGTACTCCAAGTAGCTTTTGCATCACCTGTGCAGCTCCCTCTGTAGTTGCTGTCACCTCAGCTACTTTCAGTGCCAGTCTCTGAGTAACCATTACTCTCAAACATTTATTGACCACCCACTATGTGCAAGGCACTGGCACACAGTTCAGAGCATCAGCTTGCAGCTATTAAAACTTTCTGTTCTCAGCTGGACTTAGTGGCTCATGCCTGTAATCCCAGCACTTTGGGAGGCCAAGATGGGTGGATCACTTGAGCACAGGCGTTCAAGACCAGCTTGGGCAGGATGGTGAAACCCTGTCTCTACCAAAAATGCAAAAATTAGCCAGCCATGGTGGTGCACTGTGATCAGAAGGCTGAGTGGGGAGGATCGCTGGAGCCCAGGAAGTCGAGGTTGCAGTGAGCCGTGAGTACTTCAGTTTGGGTGACAGACTGAGACCATCTCAAAAACAAACAACAAAACAAGTTTCTATTCTTGAGAAAGCTGCAGTGCAGTTGAAATGATATGAAAATGTACGAAAGATAAAAATGTAGGATGTCAAACTGTCAGGCAGTTAAAGCCTATGGGTGTGAAACGGCAAGAAGATCCCAGGGAAGGCTCCTCTGACTTTCCAGCAAGATGTGTATAAGACCTCTATGAAAAGTATTAAGGCTGGGTATGGTGGCTCACACCATAATAGCTTGCAGCTATTAAAACCTTCTGTTCTCAGCCGGGCGTGGTGGCTCAAGCCTGTAATCCCAGCACTTTGGGAGGCTGAGGCGGGCGGATCACGAGGTCAAGAGATCGAGACCATCCTGGTCAACATGGTGAAACCC